TAAGTTAGGCCTTGCGGGTATGAACCCCGGTGGCTAGGGTTAAAACGTACGTACGGGATCCAAGAACCAAACTTGAGTACCTACTCGTTTGGGGGTACCACCCACCCAACAGTGAACACTACGTTGTTGGTTTTTGGTTGGCCTTAAGTGAAGGTAAGTTTAAGATTTTCAAAACCCTTTTATCTTAAACTAGGCCTAGCTTAAGGATTATTTAGGAATATTTTATACTGGAATATAGTTTAATTATTTAAACTAGAATTCGTGTAAGGGTTGACAAATATTAAAGTGATTGGCCTTAGGCTAAGAATAGTTTAAGGATATTGTTGAATGTTGAATATTGAATATTGAATATTGAATATTGAATATGAATAAATATTCAATGATGAATATTGAATTGAATATTGCAATTATTATGAATGACTAGTGAACATTGAATGTGAATATAAATGTTGAATAATGAATAACTTAAATAATTATTGATTATCTGAACTGAATATTATGTGCATGATATCAAATGATTTGATTGTGAATTTAGATTCAGTTTATATGGATGTTCGACGCATTAAATATGCTTACTCAGCTTCAACACTGAGCGTGTAGTATGTTTTATTTGGTACACGCAAGTTAATAGAAAGAATGAAGTGACGTGATCCTGGAGGCAGACGGAGGCAAGATTGTCGGAATGGATGTGATGGTTCTAAACTGAAGAACATAAATAAATTATGTTGTAATTATGATTTGGTAAAGCTTCCGCAATATTGAAAACTATGTACTGTTTATGATATGAAAAATATTGTTGTGATAAATAAAAGTGTTTGAAATGTTATAAATTTTTACGATTACCAAGTTAATACTTTAGTCTGAACGGGGCTGCAGACCTGGACCGGTTAGGGTGTTACATTTTGGTATCGGAGCAAATGGTTTTAAACACGATCTTCGGATCAATGTTTGATTTAAAAATATATATTATATATTTTGGGTAAAAAAAATAATATTGTCAATCACATCCACGACTCTCGCGTCCCTCTGCTCCAGGAAAAAGGTATGAGAATTTACTTGGTAAATAATGACTCTATTAGAATTCTCATTAAATAACAATTGATTAGTACTGAAACCGTATCGAGCGTAGACTCTAGTTGAACTTTCGTATTCGGTGAAGAAACAAAAAAAATGTATAAACCTCTGATACGTTATCAACGTACGCATCGCATCGTGAATGATGAAGTTGATCTCTACCGGAAAAAGTCGCATAGAAGTGAGATGATTCTGAAGAACGATTCGTGTTGATATATGTTGAAAAACATTTGTGAAGCCGGTGTCAAAGATCCTCATATGGGCTCAACGCGAACCAATCGTTGATGCAAACGAAAACGTTTAGAATCAATAAACTCTGTTATCTAAAGTATCTGATACTATTGTTTGACTCATTAGGACACATTATGCGATTACTTAATGTGAATCGAAATCATTCGTTAAGCAACAATTCTTTGTAAAACATTGTTGAAGTACCATACAAGGAAATCGACATTATCCTTAGTATGCATTAACGGACTGAACGTCGTTGCTGTTGTCAACTTATGATGAAGAATTCCTCAACTGAAGACCAATGATGGTAACCTTATAGAGGTGAAAGCAAAGCTGATTTCTAAACCGACCAAGTTCATCTCGAATATATATGCGAAAACATCTCAAGTGGTCTATTCGTGCGATACCCAAAAAGGAAAGAAGCCTTTGACAAGAACTTGTAGTGTCTCGCCCTCGAAAAGAAGAAAACCTTTGTTTACTCAACACAAATTGAGAGTGTGGAAACATCCAAAGTGTAACACTTGTAGAAGACATCACGCAAGAGAATGTTGGATGACACAAGGATTATGTATAGGTTGTGGTAAATCTGGGCATTTTCGAAAGGAATGTCCTACAAACCCTTGGAAAACCAATGCCGATGGCCCTGTTCAAAGACAGTCTACCTTAGCCCAGCTTGCACCAGCAGGAAATAATCCACAAATAAAATCATGCACATGCGTATGCAGTGAAAGACCGCGATGAAGAAAACTCTGGTGTCATCATTAAAATATTTCCTTANTAAGATAATTGACTCGTTCGTATACCCTACTGACCTGAAAGATTGCAACATGGTGACGATACAAAACAAGACAGTGACACCAATAGTGAAAGACTGAAGAATGAAGAAAATATAGCTCGCACTAGCCATACAACCTAGGAGAATATTTATGGATAATATCATTGCAACACAAGATACAACTTGAATTACAAGAGGAATGTTACAAATGCAATTCTAAGTCTAGTCTTCCAAGATTCACAAACTCATCGTAACTAACCCCTGGCCCCGGGAAAGCTTTAGCAAACTCTAACTTGTCTAAAAGCTCACCAACAAAGAAAGAAGAAATGAAAAGTTTCCTCTAACTCAAAGACATGAAGTTCTGCTTCACTGCATCGTCTAGAAATTTTATTAGGTTATTGAAATAACCGTCAATGTTCAAGAGACCAATGGGTCTATTGTGTAACCCTTCAGAAGCCCACGAGATCAAGGTGAACAAACCTTCCATAGTGTCAACTCCTCCGGGAAGAACAATGAAAGCTTCCACAGCATGATTCATCTCAAAATATTTGTAGTAATTGCTGGAAACTGTGTGCTCTACGCCATATGTAGGTCCGTAGACCCGCCGTATTGCTATGTACCCAAGAATGAAACCTCTAACGAGACCACCATTGGTGAAGACTGTTGAAGCAACTGCTCCTTGAAGGCCAACACTACCTCGTCCACAGGCAAGTTTAATCTTTCGCCTTATCAATTCCCTTCCTAAACCTACCACAGTAGCCATAAACTTTGGATTTATACCAAGAGAGTGACTGCCAAGAAGACCAACGAATCTTATAGTGTAAGGAAGTGTTCGAGAAGTTCCTTCCATAATGTGAGAATGTGAGATACTCTTTCTATAATCATAATATATATAGCCTCAGAAACCTGACCACTGGTGGAAAGGTAATTGTCACCAGCCAAAATACGTACAGTAAAATGTATTCAATATATCTACAGACAAGAACGTACTTGCTAATATTATAGTCTGCTGATGATATGACGCATTGAGACTCTTAAACAGTTGGATTCGTTGTCCTGAAACACGTTTAAATCTGGGACGAAAAGTCAAAACGGCTATTTCTCTAAGACAATGACTCCTTGAGTAGCTTCCAAAGAGTGAAACATTGAGGAATGAAAACCTACGATTAGTAACGATAATTCAAAAACGTTATCTTTGTATCTTCTGATTCATACCCTTGAAATACTCAAACTTATTGTGTTGATCACACTCTTGAAACATCCCATTTGACCAATCTTGAAAAGATTGAATTCCATTGCTGGTATCAAGATATTAAACCATGAAAAATTTGTCTTAACTCACAATTCTTCATATAATCCCCAAGATGCTTTTTGATACCGATCTTCGAAATCTATACCCTTGGAATACGTGACTCGATCACAATAGTAAAAAAATACCCTGACTTAAACATTATGTTAAACCTCTCTTTGTGCACTACAAAACGATCAATACAATCAAGCTATCTCTGAGGATTATTATCAATGATATTGTTAGAATCCTAGCAAGGAAATGTATGTGCGACAACCAGAGAAGAAATGACATCACAAGAACAGGCTGAATCATTCAAGTAAAGATTCCGAACCTATATGCGATGTTGGTGTAAGAACTAGTAAAGATTCCCCACTCTATGAATTCATGAATTGAATCACGTACTAAAGATATTATCTTCTTCACTCGAAATTTAATCAACCATAGTGTTACATCAAACCCGTCATTATCAAGAACGTATCTGGATATATTCCAAAATCAATGAAGAAGGTTGAATACGACAAGACGTACATGAAACGCTACTCGAATGTCATCACCTATGAATACAAAGACTTATTAACGATAATGAGAGCTACCATGAAGTGAATGAAGAAATATTCCGATGTAAATCGATGATCAATCGACAGTACTTCCTCGTAAATGATGACAAATTCCATATCTTGAGAATCTTGGACCACTAAAAGCCATTGATGTACTTACGAAATTATTGTTGAACTATGTGAACGAGATGAGGATGACTTAAGTAACTTGAGAAAGTTACGCTATGACGTATGAATTATATAACCTTCAAATGCTCCACTACATCTATCGCGAACTTGAAACTGCAAAGGCTACTAAAGGACTTTCGATCGAAGAAAGAATATTGTTAATCGACATTGTACAATTGAGAATCGTGAATGAACGAAGTGATGTGCAAATATGTCAAGTATGCTCTAGAATATGATGTTATACCCTACAAAGGACTCTTGGTTATGGATGTTGAATCTGAACGGGAACCTGCAAAAAGGATCGTTGGATACCTTCCTTAATCTAAAATTATTAATCTCTTGAAGAAAGAACAAGTCTGATAACATTGACAGTTTGAGAATACGTAT